GAAACTATGAAGATCAATCTCTCTCACCTTTGCTATAAAATATATGCCAAATGTTAGTATAATTTACACATTATACATAATATGTATTGTGCTATATAATTATATAATCGACGAACATGAGACACACCAATTCCTCAAAGAAACGACAACGGGGTCTCCATGTCTTTTAGAAAGGAAAACAGTGTTCTTTCCAGGTATCCCAAGAACACAGAGCGGCCGTCACAGAACAAGGCGGAACTACCCCCACGTAGTTCTCGATCCTCCCTCACAGGCCCACCATGCCCACGCTGACACGATCTCCGCATCTGTCCTGTGGGTGCCGGCTGTTTGTTGCTTTTTATCAGCACTTTACCCAGACGCAGCCGAGAAAGACTAACCTGGCTACCTCTGAAGAATCTGATGCTGCCAACAGAAAGCCACGGCGTACTCCGAAACAGGCGAGGAGGAGGAGGAAAAGAGAAATGAGAAGCACCGACGCTAGTGAGAAGAGGGCCGGGGAGACTTGCCTAGTGCTGAGGACCACGAGATTCTGGACACGGGTCAGGGAGGTGCCCGCTGCACGCGGGCCTTGCCTTGCTCCCAGCGGTGGGATTTCTAACGGACTTTCATCTTGTCAGATGTTTAGAACACTAAACTGATGAGTCTTTTAGGACTAGCTGAGCTGTGGCTCCGTTAGGATGAGGTTGTCTTCACTGTGTGACCCCGTGTACCTGTGACCCTCAGTGAAAACCCGGCATCTATGCTCCTATTCCACAAGCCTACTTTACTCTAACCCAAATCCTGACCTACCATCAGCCAAAGCCACCGTTAACCTAATTCTTTGAAAATTCTTCTTAAAAAAATGTGGTACACATGTTTCCTGAGCCCAGGGGCTTCCAGGATTTAAACTTCTTTACTTTTCTCAGGAAGGTACACCGCTAATAATACCATTTAACCTTCCTCTTAAAATGCAGAAGCTTACTGAATTGAAATGAGTCCACTTTTTCAAAAGACTACTCATCAAGCAGTGTTCATCCACACTGGCAAATCTGTGTTGGTTTCACCCTAAGCTCATCATGAATATTGAGTGATGTTTATAACAACCTGCCTCTTCCTATAACACGGGAGTGGGGCAGAGCCACACAGCTTAGCAGCTACCCGGTCAATGATGGCAGCCATGGTACGCCAAGACAGAGCACTAGGGAAAGGCTCATCCACAAATTAGGAAATGCGTTTCTCCCTCTGATTTCATGTCTCCAACAAATGCAAAGCCCTGCCATCGTCGCTCTTCCACACGAAGACCCTCCAGAAAGGATGCCAACTACCCAAACTTACACAGAAAGAAAAACTTCATGGCTTTCAGATACGCTTGGCCACTAAAGACACGAATTAACTTCCTACTCTCAAGACACAACTCAAGTCAGATGGCTTCGGAGGCCCACCCAGAAACTGACAACCTCTGTTAAGCCAGTTGCTCACGGAATTGTGATCAGGAGGGGACTTGACACCCTCCAGATGGTCGGGAGGGGTGCCATTCGCGGAGCGCAGACTGAGACCTGTTGGTGCCAGCTAAGGGGAAATCCTCAGCAAAGGGGAAATTTCGGCTGACTGTGCTTACGGCAAGAGGCGAGGCTAGAAATTCAGCAGTCCGACTTCAAAACGCCAAACCTACGTAAAAGCTGAGGGAGTTGAAATAAACTGTTATCATTGGCCCAGATAACAACAGACTTAGAGCCCTCATTTTAAATAAACTGGTTCCATAGAAGACTGGTGGAGGGATGAAGCAGGGACTGGGCTTCATGGTACAGCCCAGACTGGACCAGAGAACTCGCCGTGGCGTCTAAGAGGGTCTCAACCTTGTCATTTCCCTGCCTTGGCCTCCCAAATGCTGGGGTTACGGCAGGGGCACCACAACAGGTATAGAGACAATTGGAACGGGAAAGCAACAATTCCCCGACTCTGTCCCAACTCAGGACACGCTGCCCATCCCTCCTCTCCTGTCCCTGGGACGATGCAGAATCTTGTGGCCTGGCGCATCTCCCTGTTTGCCACCAAGTCACATGGCGCAGGTATGAAGATGCAAATGAGAATGTCTGCTATAGGTGTTTCCGCTACTGAAGTGTGAAGACACATCTGAAAACGTGACACTTTCTGTTACCGGGGGGTAAGAGCCCAGACAAGCACCTTCGTCATCGCGTCGCCGCCGCGGGTCTGACAACCGTTCTAAGCACAACATTATTAAAAACTCTGACTTACTTTCCGAACCACTTCCCAAGTGCCGGATGCTGAGTACGCTAAACTTCTCCAAAATTTTCACACTGTATCTGCCATCTTTCAAGAGGGTCAAACTACAGATTCTGACTAAAAAAAAAAAATGGTCTTCAAAAAACATTTACATAATTAAGTTTAAAGCTGAGAAATGGAAATTTACAATCAGCTTCTCAAAACGCCATCACTAAAAGATTCGTGGCTCTTTGTTTCTGATAGGACCCTTTTTTTCTTACACACTTCCTCAAATTCCGTAAAATTATCTGCTGCTATATATCCCAAGTAGAAGAAACATTCCAGATATTTCTTGCTTATTTGGAGACAGAGTCTCATTACGTAGCCTTGGCTGGCCTGGAACTCACTTTGTAGACCAGGTTAGCCTTGAACTCACTGAGATTCACCTGCCCCTGCCCTCCTGAGTGCTGAGAATAATGGCAGGCACCCACTACCATACCTAGCTCACTTAAACTATTTCTAGGCCATTGATGGAATTACACAGAAGTAAACTTTTCTAACAAAATTCCCTGTGAACTCTTTCACAGAAGTTTGACAGAGTAACAGCGATGTCATGGGACCCGTTTTCCCTCCTCTACTGAAGAGATTCTCCCATTCTCATGCTCAGTATTCCTCCTCCACGGCTGGCTCACGTATCCAGAACCCAGCCTCCCCTCCCCCTTTATGACAGAACCAACTTCCCAGAGTTCTAAAGATACACCACAGTTCACTCAAACCAATGGTGCCGCTGCCTGCGGAGTTCAAGAACCCAGTCTGGACACTATATTCTCCTGGACACGGAATAACAGCACAGACCCACCCACACTCTCGGCACATCCTCCTCCTTCCTCAGCCTATAAGGAAGCAGCCCTGGGGCCTTTCCCAAGATGAACCCTAACTCAGAACTCAACACTAGATACCGTCTCCGCCCGCCTCCTCTGCCCTCTCTCTGCTCTTCCAACTAGAAAGCTGCCCTCTCAAGAACATGCCTCTGCACTTTCTCTTCATATATGAACATGCCTCTGCACCTTCTCTTCATATATGCTTTATCCCCACTGTTCCCTGAGCTATAAAAGCCCAACCACTCTAAAGTTAGATCATCTAAATTCTATGCGCTCAAAGTCCAGATCAAAAGTTAACTTTGCAGCGACAGTTGCAGTCCTTGGTGTGGCTCGCAAACGCTATTCATCATTTATTGACTATGCCATAAAGTATTTGTGCATTTTAAAGACAGAAAACCTCAGAAGAACTGCGGACAAACTCTATTTGCCACCACCATCTCCCTGCCCCTCCCACCCACCCACCAGATGTCCAAATGCACCCGAGTGGTAACCACGAAAAATATCTGTTGAACAGAGGAACGTATATTTTAAGCATGAAAGGTGGCTCTACAGAATAGACTACCAGGAAGATTGAAACCACGCTGGAAATCTCCAGACATAGTCTAGTATAAAGTAGACATAGTTCTACCCAAAGCAAAGGCATCGATCAGGTGACTGTGTCTGGCTGATTCTAGAAATGAAATTGTCTCTTTAAAAAGTACGGCCTAATATATTCAAAATCAACCCACAGCCAAACTCCATTGGCCAACGAACCGAGTTTAACCATAGATTTTTTCTATCAAAAACATGCCAGCTGTTCTTACAGCAACATCTGTAACATTCCAGCTGTGTTCAAGGATTGTAAGAAACATCTCTGTACCCTCTCGTTTCTCCTCCGACAGAAAGGCAGACAAACAGGCCTGCTGAGGGCTGTGAGCGACAAAATCAGTTTGGAAGCCCAAGTGCATAAAAGGATATGTTGGTGTGTATGACTTAATTATCTGCACAGCGTCACTAAAACTACGCCTACTTAACTTCAAGAAGTCGGAACTCTGATGTGTCCTCCTCCCCTGGCATCGACAATCAAAAAGGTACACTTAATGTTTTGCTATGCTTTCTCCTCTACTAGGGGAACAGTCTAAAACTGGGTTACTTCAAGATTAGACATAAAAATATGGCTGGACACCTACAGAGCTCTCTAGAGAGAAATGTAAACATCACTAAACTAGCTTGATAAAAGCCTTCACGACAAATTTCCATAAACCCCGGCAACCAATTAGTTGAGACAGACAACTTGATTCCATAAAACAGCACACACACACAAAGGTAGCATTGTATAAAATGAAATTCAGAGCCTACATATAATGTCTATTGGGAGGGGGGACAAACTGCAAGAACAAATAAAGGAATTAAATCTGAATAAGCAAACGCTTTCAAATTCTTTTTCGTATTGCTACATTCTATGTGCTTTTATGAGGCAACTTAGATCCTTGTGTTAGGAAACTAAGTGCAAAAAAACTTTGTTTTCCGATGTAATCTGGTAGACTAATGATTTAAAAAATAAATAAATAAACGGCTTGTTAATCCTGTATGCGCTTTAAATGTTATAATGAAGCTACATTTTTAAAATTGCGAACGTGTTCTAAACGATTTAATTCTTTTTTTAAACCTCAATTTTCCTTAAACGGTGCAGTAAAGCTACAAAGTTTTCCTGGACCCTTCTAGTAACGGCAAGCGATTCTAAACACGATTTCTAACTGGACCGGCCACGGGAGTTCGTTCCGTGAAGTGGTGGCGAGAAGCCGAGCAGGGGATACTGCGCTCGGGGGGGCACCTGGGTGGTCCGGGCCTCCACGACCTCCGGGGCAGCCGGACCCCAGCACCTGCGGGAGTCAACAGGCTCGGTCCGGCCGCGTGGGGACGGGTTGGGCTACTCACCGAGCAGCGACAGGAGCAGCCAGGACGCTGGAGCCGAGCGCCGCCGAGTCATACCGGGGCCGCCGCGGGAGCCGCCGTCCACCGGGCTCCTAGGCGGCGGGGTGCAGCGGGGACCGCGCGGGACACGGGAGCGCCGAGGCCGCTCCGCTCCGCCGAGGCTCGGGGCAGGCTCGGGCGTCCCGGGCTCGCCGGCCGCCGCAGCCACTCCCCCCAAGCTCCCGCCAGTTATTCCCTAGCCGGGGGCTCTGCGCCGCCTGCCCACTCGCCGAGCGGTCTCCAGGGCAACCGCGGCTCCAGTGCGACGCCTGGCGGCCACCAGAGGAACACACGGAACCACAACTGGAGGGGCTCGGGCCACCTGCTCTGGTTCCCTGAACTCGGCAAGGACAGGTGAGCAGGACCTGAAACCCAGAGCGGCCTCCCTCAGATCCAACGTGCCTTTGGGCTGCAGTTTTTAAGACAGTACCTTCTCTGTTTGGCCATTCCTCTTTCTAACCTGTCCTGAAACCCAATTCATCTGAAAAAAAAAAATCTAATAGCCAATATTGTCACTATTGACTACCGAAGGAGAGTTAGACTCTCTCAGGGGTGAGTCCCCTTATTGGTTGTCCAATGCAGAGTCATCAGCCCTGGGTTGTCAGCCCTGAAACCATGTACAAACAACAAAAACGGACTGAGCAGGTTGTTTGAAGGATGGATGGATGATTGTGTGTATATATATATATATATGTGTGTGTGTGTGTGTGTGTGTATATATATATGATTATATATAATACATATATATTATATTATATTAAATATATATTCATATGGTTAATAGAAAATTAAATTAATAATGAAAATATATATGATTAATAGACATATGCATATATATAGATGTGCATACACATATTTATGTAACTAATAATCAACAAAAAAGAGACTTTGAACTTGAGAGTGAGGAGGACGTGGGAGGGGTCTTAGAAAGAGTACCTGGGAAGAGCTGAGAATGAGACCAAACAGAGGGTGAAAGTGATGTAATACTATTTCAGATAAAAACAGGACGACCTTAAGTGCCTGGTCTTTCTGCATCCACCTCCCAAGCCGTGGGATTTCAGGCCTGCCGCCACGCGTGTTATCTCCCAAGTTTAAGTGGTCCCTTACAAAGCCAAGGTTTCTTTAGATGGCTCTAATCCTGCATGTGGCAGAGCCCTGACACGGGCAGTGGTTACCTCAGATGGATTTTTACCTTTCGTGCCTTGTTCGCTGTGATTACATCTGAGAGACTTTCACAACATTTGAAATTGCTTTACTTATTTGAACTGCATTACCCCCATTCCTTTCCCATTTGGGTTTGTTTCGCTTTACAGCCCATAGCCATTTTCTGCATCCACATCATCCACACTGAAGCTTTTAAACCTGAGGCCATACCTGCCCAGGAACTGCCCGGCCATGTGACCAGCTTCTGAACAACCTCGATTAGAATTCCTGGAGCCCTTGGGAATTCTGTGTCCCCCTCACCACGGTCAGTCTGGCTGCAGCGACTCAGACACAATAGTGTGCTCAGAAGCAAGGTGAATGTAGAGAACATTTTTTAAAAAGGAAATGCATTGGCACAAACATGGAAAACTGCGTAGAAAAACAAATATACTGAGAAAGTAGAATTATCGATACACTCTTTTGAAAATTGGAATGTTACATTTTGAGGTTAAAAGGGGGAAGTTTAAAAGATGCCAATGACTGGGGGCTTGAGAGAGGGCTCGGTGGTCGAGAGCACTTGCTGGGCTTGCAGAGGACCTGGTCTGTCCCAGGACCCACATAGTGGTTCACAACCTTCTGTAACTCCAGTTCAGGGGATTGCGTGCCCTCTTCTGACCCCTGAAGGGACCAGGCACACATGCGGTATATATACATAAGACAAAACGGTCATAGACATAAAAAATAAATATTGGAAAACAATGCCAATCATTTTATCAAGAGAAGCATGAAACTGTAATTTGTTCTCAGGAGCGAGGGAGGCTTCAGCTTGGCTCACACGCCCTGCTTCTCGTTCACATCAATAGGACGTTGGGATTTTCAGTGCTGGTGCCCTCTCTAGCTTATTCCCATTCCTCTACCCTCCGGGGCAAGTACTAGATTTTATTTTCTCCATCCGGTTCTTTGCTCTCTCTTGCCTATAGTCTGACCTTGTCCTCAACGGGGCACAGAAGCGTGTCTGCAGAAAAGAAGTTGTTAAGTAGTCAACCCTACTCAAGAGCATCCCCTCTGCCTTGTCATAATCCCAAATTTAAATGACAAATAGTGTTTTTTTTTTTCAGCTAAATAGCCTGTGCTTAAAAGTCCTGATAAAGCAAGCTGCTGGCTACACTCAGTACACAGGGCAGCAAATATTAACTAAACACAAAGGCTGCATTAAGGCTCTGGGCAGAAGGTTAAAGCCAAACCATGTGGTGTAATCCCTGCCCCAGATAAATGCCACTTGTACCTGGACCACATCTATGTTGTCACAAATCATCAGAGAAACTGAATTACTGCCCACTGGACAGGATTCGGTGAGTCGCCAGGACACAGTGGTATCAGTTTGATGAAGGAACCCTTGGAATAGAAAAGGCCCTGTGGCTTCAGTAGGAGGATCATGGACAATCCGAGTCTGGGAGACACAGAAGCACTGGGCTCATCTAGTCAAGAGTGGACTCAAAGGAGCAGACAGAGAATTAGGAGACTCCCACGCTGGACCCTAAGGCTCTCGGCCTTTTGCTCTTCCAGCAAACACAGGTGTGATCTTTAATTCACGGAAACACCACCACCGTGTGCTCGGGATGCGCTATCAGTGAGGATGGATTTTGCTGTGCTCTTTTATCCTTATCTGCTGATAACCACAGTGGGGTTTCTCTAAATCCCTTTAGCATTCTGCGTGAGAAAGCAACAGACATCAGCAGACATTTGTAGATGCTTTGTATTTCAAAGTGCTTTTGCAAATGCTATCTGGTTTGATCTTCACTGCGATGCCAGAGGGTAGGGAAGGTGCTTATTATAACCCTCATTCACACAGGGGGATGCTGGGTCTTATGAGAATCAAAGATACCTCAGGGATGCAAGTACCAGTGGGTAGAACCAGGACCAAGGCCTTTTCTCGTGTCCCCTATAGCTTTTCTGACTGCAGTAGGAAGTCATCTAAAGACATGATGGTGTCCTAAAGCTGAGGTTGTCTCCCCAGTATTTATGTCCCTCTACCCCACCACCATCCCCCCGACCACCCACCGCTTGTTGTGTGACACACCGTTCCCTGAGGGGATGAAACACACTCTTCTATTCCTCCCAGATAGGGAACGCACAACAGACCAAAGTACGGATACCAGTGAAGTCCAACTTTGTGAACCACGCACTTTTACTGGGTTGCTTGTAGGAATATGGGTGAGGGCTACCAACAGGAGCAGAAATGATTCAAAGATAGTTGTAACACCAAAGGTGACCCCAGCGTGAGTGACAGCTCACAAAAGCACACTGCACCGCCTGCAGGCAGCTCAATAGGTTTCCCCGTGTCTCTGTAGGCCTCAACCTCTTCCAGGCAGCTGGGCTCTGCGTACTCTAGACGGAGAGGCCCATGGCATCTGGTCAGTTTCAGTTTGGGTTTTTTTTTATTTTTGATTGCTTACCTCCCCCACTTCAGGTGCTCCCCAGCGTGATAGAATGTTTCGGTCACCTAGGAGACTGTTCACAACACCCCCACATTAGTAGCAGTTGGATGGCTTTTACTGGGGCAACTGTAGCTGTTCCAAGAAAGAAATGGGGAGGTGTCTGGGTGCACCGTGTAGCATGGATCAGGTGAAGAGAGAGGCACCCGAAGATGAAATGGAAGGCCTGTGTGGCAGCAGGAAGGTCCAGCCTCTCTGATGGACTGAACCCCAAACAGCGAGCCATACAAAGGCGTATTATTGAAAGTTACACTAAGTATTTTTTCATACCAAGGCCCCTAATCTAATTTGCAGGAAGGAGAGCAGCACATATTCCCATGACTCTAGTCCTTTCTTACGTAGCATTTGCAATACACAACAATACAAGTGTGCACTGTGATAGTCGTGGGACAGCAACCGTGCCCCTCCAGCAAAGCAATCACTGTTTTCCACAAGGACTCTTCAAGGTACTTCTAAAACACAGTTGTTCCTTCTAAAACCTAGACCCCCCCCCAATACAGTAACTCTGCTAAATTCCTGCAACAGAGAGGAGTCAGACTGAAGGAAGGAAACCAGATTATATTCTACTGTGGTTGTAACTGAGACATCTCGACTCAAAACATAGGTAGTACAGATTCAACTTCTACCTATCCAAGTTTAAATTTAACACTAGACAAACTTTTCAGTTCATCAAAATGCCGGGTGATCTCTTTCCAAGATCAGTTCATTTGTATTCAAGAGTGAGAAATGAATTTTATTATTGGCATGGGAGAAATATAATTAAGAAAAAGTGATAGAATTATAAAGTTTTCTAAAGCAAAGTATAAATTACTTTTGAATTAAATATTTTAAATTATTAATACCGCAGATCCCGTTCCATCTATGTGTATAAATTACATATTAATTGCATTTAAATTTGGAGGTTTAGTATTTATGGAGCGTTTTATATGAACATTATTTTAAGGCTAGTTAAGAGCTGTTTGGGCCAGTTGCTTATTCTGCAGTTATTTTTGACCAGCTGCTCAGAGCCAGATGTTGTCGACAGTCGTGGTTGGTCCCTTTAAAGATAAAATATGAGGAATTCTCCTCACCTTATAAGGAGTCAGAAAAAATTCTCTAAAATAAAAAATAAATGATAAAAGAAAATGATAGTATTATCAAGAAAGCCAACAAGTGTCCCTTATATGCTGATGTAAATGAGTATTTAGCATTTCAAACATCCTTCTGAAAGTTGAGTATAGCCTAGCTGTGCTTAACTATACTGATAACTTAACTCTCTTACACACTTCTTTACACTCCCCTGGCCACTCTGGCTAGACAGGATTTACACCAAAGTGAATGACAATCTCTGTCTCCCTCCCAATGTCCAGTCTCTCTCGTCACTGTGAGTTTTGTTGAAGGTAACAGCCCCTACATCTACATCCATTGGAAAACTTCAGCTTTTTTCTTTAAAACTTTTCCATCATAAACACATCAGTATTTAAATAAAGTTGCTTTTGTACAGGAGTCATTGTAACAAAACGCTTCTGAATTCTCCCCAATGGCAAATTTAAGATGACATCAGTG